AAAAAATATAATAAAATGAAACAATCACCACCACTATCATTAAACTGTAACTTGTCTAGTAAATTGTCATTATTATTATTTGCTATGGGCATTCCATTATTTCTGTTGCAGCACTGACAGTGTCTTATTATGCAACACACCACCAAAATATACTTACAAAGATTAAAAAAAAAATGGCAGTTTTTCAAGGTGGGGGTTTAATCTAATAGTTAAGACACCAGGATCTCACACTGGAGTGCCTGGGGTTCAGCTTCTGGCTCTACTCCTGATTGCAGTTTCCTGCTAATGCACATCCTAAGAGGCAGCAAGTGGTTGTTCCTGCCACCTCCAGGGGAGATCTGGATTGAGTTTCCAGCTCCACCCTGGCTCAGCCCCAGCCATTGCAGACATTTGGGGGGTGAATCAGAGAGGATGGGTACTTTCTAGCCACACCCTACATCACCCCACCCCCATCGCACCTCGCTCACATGCTCTCTCTCTCTCACTCTGGATTTGAAACAAATTTTTTACTTTCTTTTTTAAATTTGCATTTATTTTATTTCAGAGAGGGGGAGAGGAGGTGGAGGGAATGAGAGAGGAGGAAAGGGGAGAGAGAGAAAGAAACACTTCTCGTCTGCTGGTTCACCCTCCAAATGCCAGGAGTCAGGAATTCAATTCATCTCCTTTGTGGGTGGCAGGGAACCAACTACTTTAGTCATCATCACCCACTATCTGCCGGGGTACACATTAGCAAGAAGATAGATTTAGGAGCCACAGCCAGTTATCAAACCTAGGTATTTCATTATGGGATGTGGGGATCCCAAGCATTTTTATTGCTGTGCTAAATGTCCACCCCTAAAGTTTTAAAAAGCAGTTTTTCATTGCTCCTAAGCTCTTATGAAATCAGATGTCTAATCCATAGAGGCTGATGATTTTCTAGACTGATGTGCATATTTTGGGGTGTATCAATTTGGACTCTTAAGATTAACAGATCAGGGGCCGGTGCTGTGGTGTAATGGGTTAAGCCACCTCTTGGAATGCTGGCATCCCATATGGGTGCCAGTTCAAGTTCTGGCTGTTCCACTTCTGATCCAGCTTCCTGCTAATGTGCCTGGGAAAGTAATAGAAGATGGAGGTCCAAGTCCTTGGGCCCCTGCACCCACATGGGAGACCAGACGAAGTTCCTGGCTCCTGGCTTCAGCTTGGCCCAGCCCCGGCCATTGCAGCCATTTGGTGATTCAGCAGATGGAAGATCTCTCTCTCTCTCTCTCTCCCTCTTGCTCTCTGCAACTCTGCCTTTCAAACAAACAAAAATCTTTAAAAAAAAAAAAAAAGCGACAGTTCAAAGGGCTTTGGACAGGCTTTCATGTCACTTTCACTTGGGATATAACTATAAGCCTATAGCATCTGAGCTCTCCTACTGCCAAAGAAAAGCTGTTGGTGTTTTTAGACTTTTGAATCACAGATTTTAATGGCTAGGATCTAACTCTAGGCTAAAACCAGAGATGGTCTGACACTGGGCTTTTCAACCTCAACACAACCTGTGCTGAACTGAAAGCAGATGTCCGTTTAATAAACAGAATTTTGCCTCAAAGACTGTTTAAGATTTAAAAGACACTGCTCCGTGGAGCCATTAAAACAACAGATTCTGGCTCAATTATCTCAATCACTGACAGATACTCAAGAAAAGGGCTTATTCTTTTGTACAAAACTCCAAACATCAAGCTGCTAACTGGATCTATATAACTAATACAGAGACTAACTGCATTCCTAATTTTGGTTCCTGCCAGAAGCTGCATATTGCTAGGGTGTAACCCTTTCACATGCTCCTTACAGATAAAACTCTTGACCCCTTCTTGAAATATCTCACTGTATTAACTTGGGTTTGGCTTTCTGGATTAATTGCAGTCTGCAGCAATTTTTTTTTTCAATCTATATATATGATGAGTCTTTTTTTTTTTGGACAGACAGAGTGGACAGTGAGAGAGAGAAAGGTCTTACTTTTTTCCGTTGGTTCACCCCCCAATGGCTGATACGGCAAGTGCATCGCGCTGATCCAAAGGCAGGAGCCAGGTGCTTCTCCTAGTCTCCCATACGGGTGCAGAGCCCAAGCACTTGGGCCATCCTCCACTGCACTCCCGGGCCACAGCAGAGAGCTGGCCTGGAAGAGGGGCAACCGGGACAGAATCCGGCGCCCTGACCGGGACTAGAACCCGGGGTGCCGGCGCCGCAGGCGGAGGATTAGCCTATTGAGCTATGGTGGCGCCAGCCCTGCAGCACTGTTTTAACAACTTGACTATTTCTCTTACCTTCTCGTCCACACACCTTAGTAAACTTGGTTATCAAATGCAGCTGTCCTCAGAAAGAATTTATCTTTTCTAGACTACCCAGTAGATAATCAAGACAAAAGGAGTGTGAGGTAGTATAAATATGTTTTTTTCTAGGATTTATTTATTTATTTGAAAGTCAGAGTTACACAGTAGAGAGAAGGCGAGGCAGAGAGAGAGAGGTCTTCCATCCATTAGTTCACCCCCCAGATAACCGCAATGGCCGAAGCTGCACCAATCCGAAGCCAGGCCCCAGGAGCTTCTTCTGGGTCTCCTACGCAGATGCAGGGGTCCAAAGACCTGGGCCATCCTCTACTGCTCTCCTAGGTCATAGCAGAGAACTGGATCGGAAGTGGAGCAGCCGAGACTCAAACCGGTGCCCATAGGGGATACCGGCACTGCAGGCAGTGGCTTTACCCGCTTTGCCACAGCACCGGCCCCGTGTAGATCTATTTTTAAAAATTTTGAAACTTCAGGACCTCATACTGACGGATTCTTAAAAATGGTAAGCTAAATAAAAAACTAAGTTTTTTAAAAAAATGCTTTTGCAGGTCTGGATGCTTAAAGAAAATCAAAGTTTTCATTACTGAATAGGATATCCTGATTTTGTAAAGGAAAAATAAATCCCAGCACCTGGAGAGGCCAGGAGAAAAGAGGGGGGAAAAAGTGGTTTTTGCTTTGCAGAACTATTCCTGAAAGTTTTCCCCTCTTCCTAAAGGAAGACTAGAAGCTGTCATGGAGTGCTTTTAATTCAAACACACTGCCTGGGGCCAGCACTGTGGCATAGCTGGTAAAGCGGCGCCTGCAGTGCCAGTATCCCATGCGGGCACTGGTTTGAGTCCTGGCTGCTTCATTTCCAATCCAGCTCTCTCCTACAGCCTGGGAAAGCAGTAGAGGATGGCCCAAGTCCTTGGGCCCCTGAACCTGCCTGAGAGACCCGGAAAAAGTTCCTGGCTCCTGGCTTCAGATCAGCCCAGCTCCAGCCCTTGTGGCCTTTTGGGGAGTGAACCAGCAGACGCAAGATCTCTCTCTCTCTGTCTCTGCCTCTCTGTAACTCTGCCTTTCAAATAAATAAATAAATCTTTAAAAAATAAACTAACTGCCAAACTTACAAGCACACTTAACAGCACACCCAGGTGAATACCCATGCTGAACACCTCCAGATGCCATTCACACTAGTAAGGCAAATGAACTGGTATGATGGATGAGCAAAACTGTTTGGAAATAAGAGCCCTCAGTCCATCCAAAACCAAGGTCTCAACCGAATAAAGTGGACTGGTTTGAGAACCCTAGGGTAAAAGGTCCCAGAAAAATAAGGCCACACTGAAGGCCTTGTTAACTTTTACTACTTAATGTCTATCTTGTTTGTGGTACCCTAACACTTTTAAACTGTTTCCAGGGGTTCCACATGTGCCCTCAGGGATTTATTGTGTATGCTGACAATGTATGATGACACTGTCTCAACCCTGGAAGGTTCTCAGTTCTGCTTCAAATTACTGGCCCAAATTATGGTAGGCCTGAACTGATGGCTCAGGCCATGTCAAAAAACAAAAAAAAAAGTTCATACAGAAACTCAAGGAGAAAGCCACTTGGCTTTCCAAGATAACGCTTAGAGTTAATGGAATTTCATTTGACTGGCTATATCCCAGACCCCCAAAAGGTACACCGAAGGCAGTACTACAAGTTGGTCTTTTGCTGCTGCCTGGGGACCTACTGACAACAACGTCTGCAAAGAAATTTTGGCCCAGAGCCAAGAGTCAACACAGCAGACCCGAGACTGCATTCCTTGGAAAAGCTTATGTGTAAGGTTAGCCCTTGGCTGGCATTTGAGAACTGGAATGGTCGACATTTTCCTACTCTTACATAAAACTGTCCTGAAATGATAAGAGCAGCTCACTATACCTAAACTGTTTATACAAACAAAATGGCTTACATTAAATATCTGCTCTCTTTCTGGGAGCCTGGAATTTTAGTACATGACAGACAGAGACCGCCTATGTGGCCAGCCCCCACTAAAGCACTGGGCACTGGGGCTGGTAACAGCAGGTTAAGCTGCCACTTGGGACGGCAGCATCCCACACTGGAGTGACGGTCTGAGGCCCAGCTGCTCTATTTCTGGTAATGCTCCTGGGACAGCAGAGAATGGGAGTCAAGGACAGAGCTCCTCACTCCTGGCTTCATTCTGGCCCAGCCCTGCCTATTGCAGACATTTGGGAAGCAAACAACAAACAGGAGATCTCTCAAACGCTGACAATCTGTATTTTAAATAAAACAATCTTAAAAAAAAAAAAAAAAATCCTGGGCACAGAGGTTCTAACAAACTTCCCAAGGAGACAACACATCACACATGTTGTCACTCTGGTTGCTGAGGAAATCAGGCATGTCTTGTCTGACAACCTTTAAAGGATTTTTAGAAGTTTATGCTTGTCTCCCCACTGAGACTTTTTACCCCAAGTGCTTTTTTCCTTTACTGATTTTGCTTTGTATCCTTTAACTTTAATAAACCATGCCTTTGAGTATGTTCTATGTTCTGTCCTGTGAGTCCTTCAACCAAGTCACTGAATCTTGGGGTACCCCAACAGAACTAGTAATAATTTTAAACAGATCAATACCAAGATCATATAATAGATTTGGATTTAGAAAGACATTATCAAAAATTTGCTTTATAACAAAGAAAAGTAATGTATTACTTACGAAAACAGATCAAACCACTGCTGCTTTGTAACAGATTCCTGGCGTAAAAGCTTCAAAACAATTGGACGCATGAAATCCCATTTGTCTTCAAACTGAAGAGAGCCTTTATTCTTAAAACAAGAACAAAAAAGGATAGAGTAGTTTAATTAAATGCTGTTCAAATCTAAGTGTCCTATAGCTTTCATCTTTTTATTATTTTTATTTTTATTTTTTTTTTCTGACAGGCAGAGTGGACAGTGAGAGAGAGAGACAGAGAGAAAGGTCTTCCTTTGCCATTGGTTCACCCTCCAATGGCTGCTGCAGCCGGCGCACCGCACTGATCCGAAGCCAGGAGCCAGGTGCTTCTCCTGGTCTCCCATGCCGGTGCAGGGCCCAAGCACTTGGGCCATCCTCCACTGCACTCCTGGGCCATAGCAGAGAGCTGGACTGGAAGAGGAACAACTGGGACAGAACCTGCCGCAGGCGGAGGATTAGCCTATTGAGCTGCGGGGCCGGCCTAGCTTTCATCTTTTAAGATAAAACTAGAAGGGCCAGCGCCATGGCTCACTTGGTTAATCCTCCACCTGCGACTCCAGCATCCCATATGGGCACCGGGTTCTAGTCCCGGTTGCTCCTCTTCTAGTCCAGCTCTCTGCTGTGGCCCAAGTGCTCGGGCCCTGCACCTGCCTGGGAGACCAGGAAGAAGCACCTGGCTCCTGGTTTCGGATCAGTGTAGCTCTAGCTGTAGCGGCCATTTAGGGGTGAACCAATGGAAGGAAGACCTTTCTCTCTGTCTCTAACTCTGCCAAAAAAAAAAAAAAAAAAGATACAGCTAGACAGCTAGAAACAGGGTTCACATGTAAAAGAATCAGTTTTCAAGAATAGAATCCCTGTATGTTTATTCTGGTATCAAGGAATTATACAGACAGCCATATAGAGAAAAATTAATTGTAAAAGTTTGTAGAGAAGAATTTGGCTTTGCCCAAAGAGAAGGTCTGGTCTTTCTTTTTGCTCCTGGTAGGCATTCTCTGGGCAGTTGGAAGGTACTGTCTGACTTATGTCTTTATTTGCCTGGGAGTCTTGGGTCACCCTAGATAGAATAACAATGTGATTTAGGGAGGGTATTGGCCACATATGGTCTTAGGGTAGGGGCTTGGGTCATGGATGTCAGTCAATTCAGACACTAAAATTATACATGTGAGTAATCAACTATGCTGATCGGAAAAAGGTCCATAGATACTCGACAATTGCATGAGCCTTCCAATTTGGCAGTACTCACGGCTATTACTGCAACACGCTAGTGCCAGGAGAGAAATGCTTCCTGACTACATGAGGAGGTTACAACAGCAGCTCTGGGCCTGAAACCCTGTGTGACTTTCTTTGGATGATTTGAATCTGAATCCTTTTCTGTAACAAATTATAACCATGAGCACAACAGCTTTCAATAAATTCCATGAAACTTTTTAATGAATGATCAAACCTGAAGGTGTTTGGGGAACCTCAAACTTGTAGTCAGTGTCAGAAATGAGGATAGTTTGTTGAGAATGGACCTTCTAATTCTGTAGTCATCCTAAACACCTCACAAGTATAGTCATCCAACAATATCCATAGCAGAGACTGGTTCCAGGGCCCATCTCACATATTATCTCGCATAAACTCAAGGCCCTTAAATGAGCATAAAATGGTATAATATTTGCATATAACCTACATGTACTTAAAATCCTCCCCACATACATTTATAATACCTAATATGGTGTAAGTGCTATGTAAATAAATGTTATATTGTTATTTGTATTGTTTAGAAAACAAGGACAAGAAAAAGATAAATTCCTTTGCCAAAGCTTTTCAATCCACAGTTGGCTGAATCAACAGATGGAGAGCCCTTGGATACAGAGGGTCAAAAGTAAACTAGAGATTTATATACTCTGAAAACTAAGGGAAAAAAGTGGGAAGATATACATCTCTATTTATAATGCTATCAAAACCCTGATACCAAACTGTTGGGACCAGCACAAGAAATGGAAATTAAAAAAAATGTTAACACAGGCATAGATGCAAAAATGTAATTAAACATTAACGAACAAGTGACGAATCAAAACAATGACACTTCATAATCATACATAGTTTAACCCAGGAACATGACAGTGGTTCAACATTAAGGAAAAAAAATTGGCAAATAATTTTGCTACCAAATGGAAAAGGAAGAGACCCAATAAATATTAGTCATGTTATATATGGCTATGTGACTTGCTTTGGCTGATGTGGTTCCACAAAAGCCATCATTTTTCTAGTATACTAACATCAAATACCTTATGAAACTCATGAATGTTTTACTGTATAAGGATACTGCTTACTGTATCACAGGTTCTGGAATGTAGTGGTTACATAGAATCAGCAAATTCCCCGAACAATTTCTCAAATGATCTGACAACATCTGTGTCAAAATCAGCTGAGGGGTGTGTTACCTATCTTAGACCTGTCAGAGTTCAAAATTAGCATGCTTATCAATGCCATCAATATCATATTCATGATAAAACTATATAAAAATATTTGAGGGCCAACGACCCAAAAAGGTTAAGAACCAGTAATAAACAACATACCCTTGTGAAAGCAAGTGATACTTCTTATATTCACAGTTTATCCTAAAAGTTGTTTTGCCTTAGATGCCTGCTTCTTTTCACACAGTATTCTTAGTGAAAGAATGGGAAATATGGACTTGAAACTTAGTGCAAGAATGAGATGAGTTTTCCCCCTGAACAACTAACTTATTTTTATCTTATGGACTTAAGTGAATGATGTAGGTAACTGCTCACTTCTTATTGTTGGCTAATGAGACCTTCTATCCTTTATATCTTATAGCAAAACTAATTCTCACACAGGCACTCTTCTCAAACATACAAGTGGGCCATAGAGAAGCCAATGGGGAATTGACAATGGAGGTTACTGGAGGAGGGCATCCTACACAGAGGAAGCAGACAACACAAAGATCATAGGTAAGAACACGCTTCATGTATTCAAGTACAGCAAAATGGGAAAATAGGAAAGAACAGATAAGGTCAGAGAAGTAACTTACCTTGCTGAACTTTACTGGGCTGGATCTTATTCAGCCTTGAAGACCACAATAAAAACTCGTGTTCTTTTGTTTTTTGAAAAGTTAATTTATTTATTTAAAAGGCAGAGTGAAGCCGGCGCCGCGGCTCACTAGGCTAATCCTCCGCCTAGCGGCGCCGGCACACTGGGTTCTAGTCCCGGTTGGGGCGCCGGATTCTGTCCCGGTTGCCCCTCTTCCAGGCCAGCTCTCTGCTGTGGCCAGGGAGCGCAGTGGAGGATGGCCCAGGTGCTTGGGCCCTGCACCCCATGGGAGACCAGGAAAAGCACCTGGCTCCTGGCTCCTGCCATCGGATCAGCGCGGTGCGCCGGCCGCAGCGCGCCGGCCGCGGCAGCCATTGGAGGGTGAACCAACGGCAAAGGAAGACCTTTCTCTCTGTCTCTCTCACTGTCCACTCTGCCTGTCAAAAAACAAAACAAAACAAAACAAAACAAAACACAACAAAAAAAGGCAGAGTGAGAGAGAGAGAGAGAGAATGTGAGAGTAACAGCAAGAACCATCTTCCATCTGCTGATTCACTCCCAAAATGCTCACAAAAGCTGGGGCGAGGCCAGGACAAAGCCAGAGCAAACTCCATCCAGGTCTCCCATGTTGCAGGGACCTAAGCACTTGAGTCACCATCTACTACCTCCCCAAGGTGTGCATCTGCAGGAAGCTGTATGGAAGTAGAGGTGGGACTTGATTCCTGGCACTCCAAAAAGGAATACAAGCATCTCAAGAGCTTTAACTCCTTATACCACAACATCCACCCCTAGCTTCTACTGTAAATAAGATGGAGAGCCTTTACAAGATTTTGAGTAGGAATTTCCATGATCTGATTTACATATTACTATCTTTCTGATTACTACATATTGAGAATACACTGTCAAGGCAAGTATTAAAGTTAGGTGTAGAAAGGGAAGGTAAGGTAAGAGATGATGGGTGACCTGGATGGTAGCAATGGAGGTAGGAGATAAAGTGAGAAGTTGCTATATTTTATAAAGATTTATTTATTTGTTTGAAAGAGTTACACACAGAGAGAAGGAGAGGCAGAGAGAGGTCTTCCATCCACTGGTTCACTCCCCAATTGGCCACAACAGCCAGAGCCGAGCTGATCCAAAGCCAGGAGTCAGGAACTTCTTCCGGGTCTCCCACAAGATTGCAGGGGCCCAAGGACTTGGGCCATCTTCCACTGCTTTCCCAGGCCGTGGCAGAGAGCTGGACCAGAAATGGAGCAGCTGGGTCCTGAACCAGTGACCATATGGGATGCTGGCACTGCAGACAGCTGCTTAACCCACTACACCACAGTGCCGGTCCCTATATTTTATATTTTTAAAGGCGATACCGACATGATTTCCTGACGGCAGGTCTCTTGGGTATGAGAAAAAGAATAAACCATGACTTTAAGATTTGTGTCCAATAAGTATGGCCTTACCATCAGCTGGAATGGAAAAGATACAACAAGCTAAAGAAAAGCTCAAGAGTTTGGTTTTAGAGGTTACATTTGGCTTATGTATTAGACATGTCAAGATTTTGAACAGGCAATTATATGGAAACCCAGAATTTAAAAAGTTTGACCAAGAAATAAATTTGAAAGTCATCAAAACCCAGATGGATTTTAAGACCTCTTAGTGGATGCAATCACTGTGTCAGTGAATCTAAATGAAGAGGACCCAGAACTGAGTTCTTAGGTATTCAGCGTTAAGAGGTAGGGAGATTAGCAAAGGAGAAAGAACAGAGAAGGGGCAAGAAAAATCAAACCAAGTGTATAGCGTGTACCAAGAAAGACAGTTATTGGGGTGGTGATATGGTTTAGTTTTGTTTTGTTTTTAAGATTTATTTATTTATTTTTTACTTGAGAATCAGAGTTACACAGGGAGAGGAGAGGCAGAGAAAGAGAGGTCTTCCATCCGATGGTTCACTCCCCAATTAGCCACAACAGCCAGAACTGCGCCAATCTGAAGCCAGGAGGCAGGAGCTTCTTTTGGGTTTCCCACGCAGGTGCAGGGGCCCAAGGACTTGGGCCATCTTCTACTGCTATCC